AAAGGGAGGATGCTGGGACCTGAGGGTGGAGCTAACAGTGTCTCTTTCCTCCTCCTACTTGCCAAAGGTGACTTTTAAAAAAGGAAGAAGAAGAGACCCACAGACTAAAAGGACAGTAGACAGAGGCAGACACCGAGTGCCAGGCCCGGCCAAGTTTCAAGCTGCTCATCCTCTGTGTGGGGTGTCAAGATTAAATGAACTAATAATCCAGGCAAAGTGCTCAAGCCCAACCAGGCCCTACACAGGTGCGGGGTAAATATGCACCAGGTGGAAACAGCCTTCTCCGTGGCTCGGAAAGCCTGGCTGCAGGCCGGTGCGCCAGCTAAAACTTGGTGAACAAGGGAAGATGCCGAAGGAAAATACGCAGAACTCTGCAGTGCAGACCTCCTGGGATCTTCCTCCCTTCAAACCAGCTCCCAAAATTAACTCCCCATTCAGGCCAGAATTTCTCAGAGTGGGGTCCATAAACACTGGGGTGCCTGTTTAAAAAGTAGGCTCCTGGACCCCTTTCCCAGGATGGCTGAATCCGCTTCTCTTGGAGGGTGGGGCCTGGGAATCTGAACTTTTAACAGGATCCCCAAGTGATTTTTTATGAGAGCTAAAGTTAGTGCGCCCGTTGCTAGCAAGGCTAGAGGCGGATGAAAAGGGGACCCGGCCCAGGAACTCAGGGTCCCCATCCTTCCTAACTCGACCCCGCCAAGTCCACTCCCACCCGCCGGCGAAGGACCGGGAGCTGCGCGCGGGTCTACTGAGCTCTGCGGAAAGTCAATCCGCCGCCCGGGCCGGGCGGGGCCGGGGATGCCCTGATGGGGTGGGGCTGGACGGGGCGGGGTGGCGGCTCCTCCCCGGGCGGGCAGCGAGGCGGGACCGCCGAGGGGCTGCGCGCGAGGCGGTGAGACAGCCCGGAGCACCCGCTGGCGCTGGCGGCGGAGGCCGGGCACCCAGGGCCGCTCCCCACGCGAGGTAAGGACCCGGCGTCCGCCGCCAACTTAGCGGAGTTGGAGCGGAGTTGCCGGGCGCCTGCATGGGGTGGGCGTGGGGGTTACTGCGGGACCCGCAGCGAGGGTAGGGGCCCTCACTCCCGCTGGGTCTGGGTGGTCCGACCTGGGTCCTGCTAGCCTCAGACGAGGAACTCTCTTGAGGTCGGTCGGGGACTCACACCCAGACCCAGGCCTGGGTACGGTCGGACTCGGACTCGGGGTGACCCAACGCCCCCTTCCCGCCCTCCACCAGGACCCTGTCCTGCCAAACCTGGGGCCAACGGCGCGGAACCCCCGCCCCCCAACAGCAGCTGGAGGCCGTCTTCCCAGCCACTCCTGAATTTTTCACGTAGGGGGCGGGCCGGACACTCGGTTCCCAGGGCACCAGGGCGCTCGGGTTACAGCAGAGGGAACCCCCAGACCCCCCTCGCCCTCCAGAGTACTAACCCCCAGGCTGCCTCTGCCTCAGGCCCCTGGGGATTGGTCAGACAAATGAACACACACACCCATCCCAGGTCGGGGAATGTCCTGCTCTGTACCCCCAGCCTGCAGGGGGGGGCGGATGGGGGAAGAGCTGCGAGGATGGAAGGGAAGCGGGGAGCAACTCAGGTGCCCTTCAAGGAGGGTCTCAGTTCCGAATGGGAGGGGCAGGTGTGCACACACAGAAGCCTGTGTGGACTGTTAGGGCTCCCCCACACCGTGCCACCCTCTGGCCACCCCACGTGGGTGGGGTCCTCGCTTAGGCAATGGTCTCTGGGTGTACACACCTGTGCGTCCTTAGCTGGGAGGAGCACCCCCTCCTAGCCTGACCCGGGTTTACCCTGGGACTGGAGCCAGAATGTCCCCACCCTAAGGAGCTGAGGTGTCTCTTCCACCATTTGAATGAGAGGGGGCTCTGGAGGAAGCCATCTTGGCAGGGCACAGCACCCTGCCCAAGGAGGGGCTCAAACAAGCAGCCGACCCCCCACTGTTCCTTCCTTGTTCACAGAAAGCAGGAAGGAAGGAGCAAAGCCCCCTTCCCAAGGATGACACTAAACACCCAGCAAGAAGCAAAAAACTCCCTGCGTCGGCGAGCCAGCACCCCTCTGCCCCTGGCCCCTCGGGGTGGCCAGCCCGGCCTCTTGTGCACAGCACCTTCTGCCAAACCACAGCATCCGCGGCTGGGCCAGTCAGCTTCCCTCAACCCTCCTGCCCGGCAGCCTTCGCCTGTGCCCATCTGTTCGTCCTCTGAATCCAGTGACTCTGAGGGCTCCTGGGAGGCCCTGTACCGCGTGGTGCTGCTTGGGGATCCTGGTGTGGGGAAGACCAGCCTGGCCAGCCTCTTCGCAGGGAAGCAGGAGCGGGACCTCCATGACCAGCTGGGAGGTAGGGCCCAGTGGGCCGGGCTGGGATGTGTCGGAGGAGTGAAGGACCTGTGGGGAGGCGTCCGGGCACAGGGGCGCTGAGGACAGTTGCACGCCAGGCACCGCTCCGCTCCACAGGCGTCGTGTGCGTCTGTGGCGTGAGAGTGAGTCTCCCCGACAATTGTGCAGGGTGCGCCCGAGCCTGGTCAGGAGGAACGTTCTTCTGAGGGAGGGCATTTGCCAGTTTCTCAGGGATGGGAGAAAGCAACTCTTCCATGTTACAAGGGAAGCGATGCTGAGGCCCACGACTCTCAGCGTCATGAAGCGGTGACTGCCACCTGCTCGGGGGTCAGCCCTGTCCCTTAGACAACCACCCGGGGCCACCGCCAAAACTCAGAGCCTGCCCAGAATGGAGCTGCCCGGACTCCAAGTGCTGGGATGTAGAGTCCTGTTCTCCCAACCAAGACTACAGCGATCTGAGAGTGTCGAGGGTCCCAGATGAGCGGGGACAGGGCGGAGGGAGTCAAGGTTGGCCCCTGCGGGACTGGCTGGGGTAGGTGCGTGGGGAGGGGAGTGACTTAAAGCAAAGGAAAAAGTGGGGACACTCTGGCCAGGCTCTTTCGAGGGCCTAGATAGATCCCTCTGAGAGTGGGAACCCATGTGAGGGTAGATGTACGTGCACCTGTGTGCACCTGGGAAGACGGAGGCCCAGACGGTAAGGTAACCTGCCAGCATGCACTAGGCCAGGGACAGAGCAGGGCTGGGGAGCTCCCAGACCCTTTAACCCTTGCACCCCACTCATTCAGTCAACCAAAACTACAAAAGCTTTCTGGGCACCTTCTACATGCCAGGCACTGTGGGGGCAGCTGGGAGACAGGGCTCCTCGTGGGGTTTCTTGAGCAATCGGGAGAGACAGGACAAAGCACTTCAAGAAGTGGTGGGGGCGCCGTGACCACAAAGCACACCCTCCCCAACTGCCCCCTGCCCCCTGAGATCCGGCCCTCTCCTCGGTTGCAGAAGATGTGTACGAGAGGACCCTCACCGTGGACGGAGAGGACACCACGCTGGTGGTCATGGACACCTGGGAGGCTGAGAAAATGGTAGGACGCAGCAAACAGGGCATGGGCAGGAGGGTGCGGGGTACTGAGCCTAGTGCCAAGCTCGGGTCCCCTGAGACACTACAGAGCAGGGCAGGGCAGGGCAGGGCAGGGTCCTCCTCAGCAGCCACACAGCTCCTAAGCAGTCTCTGCAGCTAGCGCGGCTCTGTCCTGCTTCTCACTCTGGGGTGGGCGCAGCTACGCCAGGGCGAGCTCCTCCCCTTGGCTGTCACCTCCTGCCCCCACCGCCCCTCCCAAGTTGGGCAGAGAAAGGAACACTGGGTGTAGCTGATGCCTGAGTTGAACCCTACTTTCTTTTTCTTACCAGTTGTGTGGCTTCTTCGTGCCGCTGACTTGCCCTGTGAGCTTCAGTTTTCATATCTGATAAATGGGTCCATCATTTCTGCCTTCCTTACCACCTTTTTTTTTTTTTAAGTTCTTATGGCAATGTCATAAGAGCCTGAAAAATATGGAGCCTGAAAAATGCTAAACATGAGTGAAGAATAATAAATGATGATAATTCTTATTAATTATAATAACCTGGTAGTAAAAGAGTAGCAGAGAAAAGAAAGGCATCTTTCCCTGGCCCCTTCCAGAGCAGAAGCGAGCAGCAGGCCGGGGCAAGTTCCTGCTATGCTTTCCTTATCTTGTTTGAGCTTTCCTTTTTCTTGCTAGGTAGCACATTTTCTCATTGCAGAACTTTGAAGAAATACACTTAAGGGGGTGGGGGGGGAAGGATCTGCAAGGGAGGAGGGGTCCCATCGGTCTCAGGCTGGCCCCTCCCCTAACATAGGGGGGTAGGAAGGCAGTGCTTACTGATTGACAGCGATGCCTGACACAGAGACAGCCCAGAGGCTAGCCATGAAGCGCTAGGAAGCCAATTCCTTTTAACAAACATAAGAAATCCAGGTCCAAATGAGGATAATCGTGCTAATGGTGACATTATCACCTCATCAGCTGACATTTATGGAGCGCCTTCCTCCTAAGTCAGCACCTGTGCTAGGCCTTAGCCCTGTATTAGCACATTCAGTCTAGTGACTGTTCTGACTCCAGTTCTACTGATGGGGAAATCACAGCTCAGAGAGGTTATGTAATCCATCCAGCACTCTCAGATAGCAAGCGGGATTCCAGCCCACATCCATAAGAGCCCAGAGCCTGCGGTCCAATGCCCTAGGCCTTCCCTTCTCCACTTTGAACTTTCAGTTGAGGCTTCACAGCTTCACTCATCTGGAAACCCACGAGTAAGCAGCAAAGACGTGTCTCCTTGCCTTGCGGTACTCACAGAGTAGGGAAGACCTACTTTTTGGGTGCAGTTGAGAATCTTATGGGACAGGATCCAGTGACTTAAGAGTAATCAGACAAGGAGTCCGTCCCATTTGGGAGCTGGGGAGGGAACATTATTAGACTGAAAACCAGGAGAAGTCTGTGTCCAGCTTGTTACAAAGTTTTGAGGTTTTTCATCTCTAGCCTTTGGTTTTCCTACAACTAAAATGGAGAAAATGAGCCAGTGTCCCTGGGTGGTGATTTTGAAGGCAGGGCCTTGCAAAGCAACCTTCTGGAACAGCACTCCTACTTCCCAGCCTCAGCTAGTCTTGTCTGACGTCAGAGAGGCAGAACCTGATAGGAACAGGTAAGCCTCTGCTTACATTCTCAGGCCTCATCCAGAGCTAGTGAATTAGAAGCTATCACTGCAGGGTGCCTGAATCTGTACTTTTCGCCACATCCCCAAGGGACACCCCAAGCTTACCCACCAATCCATGCACCAACGGATTTTGTTATCTTAACAAATAGCAAGTTCTCCATAAAGATTTGTGAAATGTGTGAATGAATGGTCAAGACCCACCCTCTCATTCTATAGATGGGGAAACTGAGCCCCGGATGGAGGAGGTAACTTGTCCATAGTCAAGGTTGAGAAACCACATCTGTCTCACTCAGCACATGGTTATTTGACCTGGGGCAGGACCAATATGACTACGGAGAACTTACCTTCCATGATGTTGGTGTTGACCCCAAATGTGATGCTTTCCTATTCCTCTGTCTTAATGGGTTATCAGAAAGATTTTCAGGAATCTTCCTCCCTCACAAAAAAAATGCTACTTCCACACCCAGGATTTCCCACTCCTGGCTCACTCTCCTCTCCTGCTCGCCTGCTCATCCTTTCAGCCCCTGCTCACTGGTCTACCATAAAGCCCTCCCACTTCCTCTGCCAGGTTGAGCAATTCCGGCTGCCCCCTGCCACCTCAGGTCTCCTCCAGTCACCTGCTACGCCTCTGTGGTAGCACTCGGCACGCTGCATGCTGTAAGTCTCCATTCCCACGGCCTCCTTTCCAGGCCACGAGCTTTAGAAAGGCAGGAACTGCATCTTACCAAACACACACAAAGCTGTTATTCAGGTGGGCCAGTTTCAGAGTATCCTCTGTGACAAAAAGCTAATGTCAGGACTACTCTAGTTTTTCCTTTCCTGTCAAACAACTTGCAAAGGCCTCTCTTTTTCACTCACACTTCCTATTACAGCAAAACACTCAGGTTAGCAACAGCCAGCAAAAGAGCATTCCACTCTCCCCAGGAGAGCACTGACCTCCCCATCCAGGTGCACAGGTGCACACATCACTGCCAGCCAGGGAAACTGGCTGCCCGGTTCTGGTGTCCAGGTTTTTGTTTTTGTTTTTTTTTTTATTTAAAGATTTATTTATTTGTGCATACAGAACTGGGGTATAGGCCAGCGTTGCAGGGGCAGTGAGAGGATTCACCAGAGACAGAGTGGGGAGCAAAACAGGCAGATTGAGAAAGCACACTGCTGAGGGGGGCAGCAGATGGGTCAGGAGAGGTCTGCCGCGCCATGTGGGTCACCTCCGGGGCGGGGATCAAACTCACACTGAAGCAGCTGCGGCCAGCTTGCAGTGCTGTGTCCTAACCCACTGCGCCGTCCAGGTGTTTTATAAGGACTCGGCGTCACAGACATGCCTGACCGCCTGCTGGCTCCCCCAGCATAGGCCATTCTGCAGCTGTCTGGTGTGGCTCACAGTCCCCAGGTAAATAAAGACATTCACAGACATCCCAAGCTTAGTGATAACCTCCCCCGAGCTGAGGACAAAGGCCAGGCCGTGGTTGATGCAATTAATCATTGGCCACATGGTCTGGACATTTCAGGACAGTAAAGGGAATATCACAGTATATTTGTTATAAAAGGAGCTTTGGTCTGATGATCTGAAAACCACTGGAGAAAAACACGCAGGGAGCCCCCGGTGCCGGCTGGGGTACTGAAGAGGGACTCTCCCGATTGCGATTAAATCACACAAGTCCTTGCTTATAAGATGACTGCATCAACTTATTTCTCGTATCTCAGTTCCCTCAAAATAAAGAAAGTAAGGCGAAACAGAGCCTTTCACGTCAGCGTACGGGGCAGCGGAGGGCTGCACTTCACACAGCCCAGCCTGCCGCCCCCTTTCCTCGCACTCCACGCTTGCGCCCCAGCGCTCTTTAAAATGGTCCTCCCTGAGTCAGCCTCCTTTCCTCACTTCTCTCCCATCCTTTTTTTCCTCATAATTCTGGACTACAGGAAGCCAAAAAAAATTGTCTTGCAGGACATGTTGTCCTCAGAGACCAAACAGAAGAGCTGCCCTAGCAAAGCCGCAACCCTGATTAGCAGGAAGAGGAATCAGCTACCTCTTTTTTTTTTTCCTAACTAACTTTATTTTCTTACATCTTTGCTCACTTTTGAACATTTGATTTCTCTCTCAGGTGTAGTCTCCATAAGTCTCCCACCCCCACAGCACCTGTGAGCCAGGCCACAGCCCTCCGTGCACTCCCCTTCCCTGTTCTGACCGTTCCTCCTCCCCTGCTGAATGCCTCAGATCATCGGTCAGCTTGCGAGTTTTGTCTTTTTCTGGATCCTTTGTTCGGTTTCCCTATCGTCTACCTGTCAGTGAAACCACCCAATCTACCTCTTGTTCCTTCTGACTTATATTTCTTGGTACAATCCCTTCTAGTTCCACCCATGTTGCTGCAAAGGGCATGAGTTTTTCTTTTTTAATTGCTGAGTAGTATTTCACTGTGTCTATATCGAATAGACCACATCTTGATCCATGCATGTGTTTGGGGGCTCTTAGGCTATTTCCATCTCTTAGCTATTGTACACGGTGCTACAATAAACACAGGAGTGCAGGTTTCCTTTCCAGTTAGTGTTTTTGTGTCCTTTGGGTAGAACTCTAGCTGTGGAATCACTGGATCATATTGCAGTTCCAGCAGTGAAGTAAAACTTTTGTGTCCAGTGCCCAAACTACAAAGGAGCCCATGAATGGGAAAATATAGGGAGGTGGTGTTACTAACCCAATTCTGGAAACAGAGAAACCGAGGCCCAGTGAACATCACTGGTTGTCCCAAGATGACACAATGAATCATGGCAGAATTGGTCCCCTGGCCAAAGTATAAAGCTCAGGTCCATCCCACCACTAGATCATCCCAGCCGCACCTGAGGACGGGCCTGGGGTTCCCATCTGGGCCAGGGCTGGGGTGCTCTCTGAGGACGGGCCTGGGGTCCCTCGCCCACAGGACGCGCGCGGGAGCCAGGAGTCGTGCCTGCAGGTGGGCAGCGCCTACATCATCGTGTATTCCATCGCAGACAGAGGCAGCTTTGAGAGCGCCTCTGAGCTCCGCATTCAGCTGCGGCGCACACACCGGGCAGACCACGTGCCCATCATCCTGGTGGGCAACAAGGCAGACCTGGCCCGCTGCCGGGAAGTGTCTGTGGAAGGTGAGTCCGCAGCTGCACCCCCTCCTCCAGGCTTCTCTCAGCCGCTGTCACCGCTCCAGCCGGGGTTGTTCATCTCTTTCCTGCAGCTACCCCACAGCCAATCACGTCAGTCTGAAAACAAGGAGCCCTCTTGCCTCCTCTCTCGCTCCCCCAAATCATTTCTCAAGCCTGCTCAGATCTTTCCCCCTCGCCCCACATTCCCTTCACTTCACAACCACAGCCCTGCCCCCTCCTGCATGGCACTTTAACATGGGCCAGTCCTGTGCTTTATCTCCACTGAGTCCTTCTGGACACTCTGGTGAGGTTTTCCAGAACCCATCTGACCCTGTCACATCTGTACTTTAAAATCCCCTGATGACTCTGCCATGTCCTCTATCAGAGACACGTAATCCATCAGGCATAATAGGCCAAGCCCCCTCTGGCTTTTCAAAGGCTGATATCTGAGACCTAAGAAGGACAATTCATTGACTCCAAAATTCAAATTTCACAAAGCTTTCATTATCCTCTAAACATAATATATTGTGTCAGCCAGCAAAACTTTAAGGTTACAAGTAAATTGTATTTAAAGTGGAAAGAGGAATAGTTACATGCGTTTGATAGAGTGTGTGGGCCTTTTGGAATCTAGAAAATTGGAAGCAGAATTCCAGGGAGAGGGTAAGTCAGTTCCACAGCATCACCAGTCACTGAAGTCTGTAACCCAGACCCAGTGGTGACCCGGAGATGAAAGGCCTTGTGCGTGGAGTGAAGACATCCCAAAATGCCACAACATAAGCCCCTGGAGATTTTGTTAAGAGGCAGGTTCCCAGCCCTCACTGCAAATCTACCAAATCTCTGTGGGTGGGCATTTTTTTTTTTGATGCAATAGTTTGGATGCACATTTTAATTAAGATACAGTCTAGACCCTCTATCTGGCATGCAAACCCCTTCTCTTTCTTTCCCGTCCCCCTTCCCTGTCTTCTAGCCTCACGCTACTATCAATATCAATGTCAAGGAAGTAACTCCTCAAAGCCAAGTATGGCTGCTCTCTGCGCCCGGGCAGCCTGCACGTGGTTCTGGGTGGGGAAATTTGCTTCCGTTGACCTGAAGCTGCCTTTCCCTCCACCTTCCGGTTGTGGCTCCACCTCCTCCGTCTGGCTCCACCTCCTCCATCTGGCTCCACCTCCATCTGGTTCCACCCCCTCAGAGGGTCGCGCCTGCGCAGTGGTGTTCGACTGCAAGTTCATTGAGACTTCAGCCACCTTGCAGCACAACGTGGCGGAGCTCTTCGAGGGCGTGGTTCGCCAACTGCGCTTGCGCCGCCGGGACAGTGCGGCCCGGGAGCCACCAGGGTCGCGAAGGCGGTCAAGCCTGGGCCAGCGAGCTCGTCGGTTCCTGGCACGCCTGACAGCACGCGGCGCCCAGCGCCAGGCGCTCAAGGCGCGGTCCAAGTCCTGCCACAACCTCGCCGTGCTGTGAAGCCGCCCTCCATCCAGCGGTGCAGACACTAGCGCACATTATGGGCTCCGCAGGTGCCACCTAGGTGCAAAGGCCCCGGTGTCCTGGAGTTCACTTGGCAGACCTTACCTGCCTGCTTCCCCGAGGGTCGCAGCATCTCCAGAGCCCATCTTTAGGGGACCCCGCCACATGGGGAAGCTATGGACAGGCAGGAGCGGAAGCCCCAAACTGGACAGACTGGGGTCTTCAAACGGTGCCTGTCTTTTTGCAAAAATATTCCTTGTTTCTTGACTCTGACCTGATTGACTCTGGTCCATCCTCAGAGACACCCCCAACACCCAATAAAGCAGAAGAAAGATGACCTATCTCAATGCCCAGACCTCCTCTTTCTGGCTCTTGCAGGCCTCTCCACTCCTGCTCTCCCATCTACACTGGCTACATGCAGACAGTCAGCCCGCTGATCTTGGGGTGACTCAAGAAAGTCACTGCACCAATTGTGTTTTCAAGCCCTTCTCCCAGCCCCTGGGCACAGACCCTGCCTTCAGTCTTTGAGGGAGAATAGTGTTACCACCACAGTTCAGCTTTATAACCTGCTATTTTCTCATTACCCCTTTTTTTAGAATATAGACTTATAAAAATGATCTGGAAGGACTCTCAGCACTCATCCTAGAAACACAGTAGCTGCTGTTTCTTGTGAGCCATGCACTAAAGCTGTCCCAGCTCTTCATCTTTACAACCCCTGTCTACGAGTTGGGGAACTGAGGCATGAGCTCATGCTCAGGGTCATGCAGGCTTCTACCCAGCTTACCAGGTTAGAGTCTGTGGCAATCTATAATCCTCTCGTAGAAGGTGAAAAGAGAGCAAATTCAGGGAGAAATGCTTTCAAACACAATTTTGCATACAATTTAAAAGGGGAGGGGTGTGTGCACCTCCACGAAACTCAACCCATTCATCCCCAACTTAGTCCAATCTCTCCTTTTTTCCAAAAGGGAAAAGTGAAGCCCAGGGAGGGGAAGTAAGCACCCCAGGAGCGCCCAGCCAGTGAGGACGAGGGTGAGGGCGGGATCCCAGAGTTCAGCCTCCTCCTATGTCTGTGCATGAAGGAGGAGGTGGTGAGGCATCCAGCCTGGCTGGGGCTGGGCCTTGAGGGTCAGGTCAGGAGTTTCCAGTCTAAGGGAAAAGGGTGTCACTACTTTCAGAGGAGAACAAGATGCGAACAGTTTGGGCCATGTGTCCCTGATGACTGATGCCCCTGCCCCCAGCCGGCTACCAGCCTGCATGCCTCAGCCCCCGACGTGGACCATGTCCCAGGCAGCTGAAACACAGCGCCAAGGAAGACCAAAGCACAGGCGGGCGGGCCATGTCCTGCAGCTGCAAACCTCTGATCCGGCCAGGCTGGCACTCATGGCACTTGTTTCCCCATGCCAACTCCAGCCTGGGGAAGAGAAGAGGAGGAGGGTCTTCCCTCACCCCAAGCTGTCTGCGGCCTGCGGTCGGGGAGGGGCTGTGCTTGTGGAAAGTTGGCAGAGGCAGACAGCAGCAGCCGGGAGAGTGGAAAAAATGATATCAAACCCGGAAAAATGCAGGCCGGATGGAGGGCCTGAGTCGGCCCTCGGAGGTGGGGGGGGGGAGGAAAAATAGAAGAGAGGGAGGGTGGGAGCCCCCAGGCTGAGGGGGACTGGTTTGGAGAGTACAGAGCAATGGCTGTCATTCCTTCTCTC